GTGTGTGTGTGTGTGTGTGTGTGTGTGTGTGTGTGTGTGTGAGTGTGTGTGTGTGAGTGTGTGTGTGTGAGTGTGTGCGTACACACACACACACACACACGTATTCTTACCAATTGAGATATTCACTGCAAAAATTAAGGACCTCAGTGACCCCTGTATAAATCCAGTGGCACTTATTCTCTGCCATACGGCTGTATATATGGAATAATTGCAGTGAAGTGGTTGGCGTTGCTCAAAATTTGCAGGCAGCACCTCAGCCTCTATCTCCAGCTAATTAGACTGTTTTAGAGCAACAGACAGGGAAAACCAGTCTAGAACCTATGCAATAGAATGAACCTACTAAGCTGCTCCTCGATTTGTTGCATCGATACAGAAGGACTCAACCAAGAAAAAAAATAAAATAAAAATCATTGACTATTTCTAGTAACATTCCATACTATGCCAGTTGGCCAACGTACTTAAATAACCAACCAACCAACATATTTATTTAACATTCAGCAGATGGACATGATATGAACATCGTGGTTTTCAGTTGTACTTTTATAACTGCTAGAATGTTTTTAATGCCAAGCTTCAAACAGGTTCAGAAGGTAAAACACATTCCACCTTGTCCTAATGACTGATCTAATCATACCCACTTGGAGTAACTTTAACTGACATTTCAGTGCACCTTCCATAGCATTTTTCAATCCATTTCCAGCATCATTTAGAAAAACTCTTTTGTGACAGTCAGAATAATACACTGTTTTATACATGCACTTCACTAAGGAGGTCAGTACTGTTAGCCCCATTTTACAGATGGGCAACCAGACTCAGAGAAGTAATACTGAGGCCCAGACCTTAATTTGTATAACTAGGCGTATAGTTGTATATAAAACTGTATAAATGTAGTAAACTTGGCTGACTTACACTTACTAAGCAGTCAACCTTCATTACAACCACCTTACTGGAATGGTGAAACGGGATATTATTTGGGAATGAATGTCCCTTGCTTATTTAAATAATGGAAGCCTCAGAACAAAGAGGCAAAGCACAGGAAAAATACTCCAGCCCTCACTGGGCCAGATTATTGGAGTTCAGGCACTTGATGCCAGCTGAGGATCTGTCCCAGAGCCGCTGAGTAACATTTAACCGTATCCAGTGCTAACCAGTAAATTATACTTTATTAACAGAATATGAATTAGAGGAGCCCAGGTACAGAACAGACCCCCATTGTGTTAAGCACTGCACATAACCCAGAGCAAAAGTTGAAAATATTTAAACGCCGTAAATTCTTGCTATTATTATTATTATTGGTGTTTTTGTTTGCGAGCTTTGCAACCCTACTGACTTGGGTAAAGTGGCCACTCTTATGGAGAGCCATAAGTAAAACAGCTGGGAAAGACCCTTGAAAAACAGATTAACAACAACATTATAAATGCATTTTTGAAGAAACATTCAAAGTTACTGTGCAATAAACTGAACAGAATGTCATAGAATGTCAAACTGGGCACCGTAAAAATAAATGTTATTCCCAAGGAAAATAAAAAGGCTGAATATTTATGTAACATTCAGCAGATGGGCCCGATATTAATACAGGGGGTTTCAGTTGTACTTTTATAGCTACTAGATTTTCTTGCCTAACTTGGCAACCCAAGGCACCATTTGATTTTTGGATTTGGACAATACCGCAACAGATGTCCAGACCAATAAAATAAATTCCTAAAGGGCTATGCTTAATTTGTGTAATTGATCAATTTTTGTTACATGGGCCTCAGCTCACCAGCATGTAACTGCCTTCCAGATTAGCTCAGCAGTTGGGATTTCATTCCATATGTTACAATAGTTTATTGGCTCTTTTGACGACACTGCTGATCCAGCAGCGTTCGTGGAGACACCTGTTGGCAACAATAATGAAATCTAACAAAGGGTATATTCCAGCGAAGGCTGGAGCGAAAGCGTTTGGAAGGACTGTAAACACGGAAAGGGCACCGCTTTCTGAAAGTGGATACATTTTACTGAAATTATTAGCGATTAAACTAACACCTTTCTTATAGAATAAACGTGTCAGGCTCGAGGAGAGAAGCTCCGCCTCTTCTATAAAAAGTAATAAGTGCTCTAAAACAGAGAGGACGGATAAATGTTGAAAAATGATATCAATAAAAATTTTGTAGTACATTTCCCCTAATACAAAGTGTCAGTGATTTACTCCTTCCCAATACAGGTTTAATTGATTCAAATAGCATTGGTAGTAATTAAAATATGGATTCTGAAGCACAACCGTTAGCTCTCATCACTCACCTATTAAACTTGCCATAGATGCTGTGTTAATTATCTTCCCATATCCTTGATTCAGCATAATGCGGCCTGCAGCCTGTGACAGAAATTAAAGGAAAGACCAGTGACCCCTTTTGTGATTGTGCTAATAATGACATGATAATAAATTAGTCTTCACTTTTCAGAAGAGTTTATGTGCGAACACATTTTTTTTTTTTTTTTTTTTTTTTAAAGGGCTGGA